TATCACTGTAAGTGCTGAAAAAGCACTTGATAAAAACTCAACACCTGATTCTGGCACTTACTAAGCAAGGAATAATAGATAAACAAAGCATATCAGGCTGTTAGGCAATGTATCAAATTGTGGGGCCTCTGGGGCTATCCTATCCTATGATAAATCACTAAAGAATAAGAAAGAGGTTAGAAGAAGCCCTGGGACTTGGTGTCTTTTCTCAACAGCTATCATTTTATCTCCATAGTCTTGGTCTTCTGCTGCTATGGCCTTCATTAGTTCTTTAAATGGTTTGCCTTTTCTTTTTTGCATTGTTGTTGTTGTTAAGTGCTGTTGAGTCAGTTCTGACCCATAGCAACCCTGTTTTTGCATTAGTCTGTTGTTGTTAGGTGCTATCGAGTCGTCACCGACTCATAGCCACCCTATGCACAACAGAACGAAACAATGTCCAATCCTGGGCCAACCTCATTAGTCTAGTATTTTTTAAATGGTAAATATTTATTGTTTTTGAATGAGTCTAGTATTTTTTAAATGGCAAATATTTATTGTTCTATTTAGTAATTCCTTTTGGAGAAGACTGTTATGATCTTGTCGTTGTTGTTAAGTGCCGTTGAGTCGGTTCTGATTCATAGCAACCCTGTATAAGGTTTCTGAGGAGCGGCTGGTGAGCTTGAACCACTGACTTTGCAGTTCAAACCAACCTTGAAGTCCAGTGCATTAACCCACAGTACCACACCAAAACTCCATCTTGTCATTAGTTACCTTTTAAATGTCATGAGATTGTTTTTAGGTGTTCCATGAGTTCATTAAGGTAACACATCAATTTGTCACATTGATGATCAGAGTACTTTTCATTATATATTGCTTTCATAAATGCAATCATGAATTCCAAAGCCTTAGCCTGAAACTGTTGAAAATCATCTGCTTAATCTTGTCATATTTCTTACATCAACTTCATTGCATGGCATCTGTACCTTGGCTACTTAATGTCAATCTTCTATCCCAGACCTTGTGGATGAATGTCATAGTCACTAAATTGTGTGTCAGGGGCACTGTGGCCCTCAGCCTTCTTGCAGTCTTGCAGCCTTCTTGCAGTATGTTGTGATCAGTAGAATAAACACCCAGAGTTATTTTTGCAGTCACGAATGACTGGGGAAGCCAGCTGCAGACTCTCATTCCATCTTCTTTATACAGCGATGTACTATTTGCAAGAAGACTAATAAGGAAGTCAGAGGTGTGCAATCCTGTTACCAGAGGACAGAGTCTTCTGCAAAGTAACAAGCCTCTCTTGACAGTGAATGACTCTTGGTTAAGGAACATTCCATTAGTACCTCTGTGTAGAGATGAGGGAAGCAAGTACAGGAAGAGAGAAATTTAAAAGGCACTGAGGATGTCACATGACTCAGAGCAGGTATTCTGCCATATTAACAGCACTCTCTATTGCCTGCCTAATATTTGCAAACCGTCATGTCACCACTACCCCAACCCTGGGATGTGAATTACAGGTCCTCACCCCCACCTATCTCCTCCCATTGCCAGGCTGCTCTATCTTCTGCAGATCCTCTGAAACGTTGGTGAATAATTATTTTTCCTTCCTATTACATTGCTCCTCTTAGTCACCACTCCAGAGTGCTAGGGACTGAATCTGTGTCCTATACCAAGCTGTGTTGATGATCAGATGTGATAGGCAACAGGCCACCTGGGAAATGGTAGTGGTCCAATCTGCTTATTTAGCTGAAGCTCAGCTGTCACCGTGGCAGACAGGAATATGGTGTCAGGGCTAAAAACTGTCAATGTCAGCCATAGTATAGCCCCTCACCCCCCCCCCCTTATTGAATTATATGAAACAGAGTAGGCGTTGGGTACATTACAGTCTGCTTCCATGAGAGGAAGTCTAGGATTGGTTGCTACTGTATTTGCCAGTTCTTTGTGCATTTGGAGAGCAGCTCAACTCTGTGGGGTGAAACATCTGCCTTCTCCTAAGCTGATTGCAAGTTCCAGGATGATGTTAAAGTGGACTCTGCTGTCAGTAAGAAATCTTGCCTTGTTTCTCTGAACAAGGAACCACATATAAAAATACCCCACCACACAGCCCCTACTCATTAAAGTCAGTTGAAATTTTGGATAAGTCTTAAGTATAACTTACAACTATATTAGCTCATAGAGCATTCTCAGGAGAAAGTCAATCTAATAAAAATTAGAGAGAACTTATTAAGTGGCTGCTGTGTTTCTATTTACTATGACTGGGGGGTGGGGGAGTAATATAATTGCGCGTTTGCATCCAATGCATTTTTTTGTTGTGGACTGGAGAGCAATTCTGAGAGTAGATATGGGAAGGTGAAAAGAATATGTCTTATTACCATTGCAATGAGAACGCTTTAATTGATACTTTATATAAGCATTTCCTGCCCCAGAGTTGGGAGGATCTTTAACTATTACTGAGAGGGCAAAAGCAGGCACCAAACCACCATTGGAGGTCACCAGGGCACACTAGTTACTAGCAAAGCTGTTTAATTACCTTCCAGAGAAGGGATTCCAGAAGTGCTCACTAGGTCTACAATGTACAGAAGGCAGGTCCTGTCATTGTCAGGTGTACTGTGGGAAGGAGCTGATGACGTGGGAAGGAGCTGATGATTATTGTTGTTTTGATTATTTATTAATCAAGACTTTTATATGTTGGCAAGAGAAGCAGAAACTGTTATTCTACACATCAGCGTGGCTCAAAGTGTGCTATTTAACCAACTAAGATTTTCCAATATGAGAGACAGCGCTCTATTTTATGTCTGGGTTTGATCCCCAATTTGAACTTATCAAATGCAAGTTTGATAGAAATAATGCAACTTAGTATCATAGAATGTTTAGTACTAAAATGGATCATTGGTATTATCTCGTCCAGGGATTCTTAATCTGCAATCTTTACTTGGACTTCAAGTCAATGAACCTTCTGCAATTCTAAGCAAATTTTACTGTACGTTCTTCTAGGAAGAAGCTCTAACTTACATCAGGTTTACAATAAAATTATTGTTGACCCAAATCTAGTCCATCCCTCTGCATTTTGTTACAGATGAAGACCATGACTTTGAGAGATGGGATATAACTTGCCAGAGGTCACACAGATCTAAGAGTTGAAATCTTTTTTGACTCTAGGTCTAGAACCAACCCTTCCTAAACTACCAGAGCTCTTTTAGTGATAAGAGGGCCTATAATATGATGACAGGGAGACTGCAGACAGCATTTATTTGTGCCACCATTTGAACTTGAACTAAATTACCTTTGAGATCCCGTTCTTCTCTGAATTCTGTATTTCCATCACTTAGAAACCCTACACAGGGTCGCTGTGAGTCAGAACCGACTCGATGGTACTTAACAACAACAACAACATCCATTATAATAGAGAAAGACATTAGCATAGAATATCCCCAAATAATTTCCATTTGGAAATGATTTCCATTTTCATAATAAGCCTTCCCTCCCCCACTCCCATTGATTTCCCTTGCTACCAACCAATGCTTGGTTGAAGTTAATATTAAAATTGCATTTCATGAGTCTACAACAGCTGATGGAAGGGAGAAGGACACCTCCATGAGGACCAGCTGCTACATGATTTGTGGGGTCAGATGCAAAATAAAAATACGGAGCGTTTTGTTCAAAACTTACGAATTTCAAGGCAGTGACAGCAGAGCCTTAAACCAAGTGTGGGAGCCTTCTAAGCATAGGGTGCCGTGAGACAACGTAGGTCCCTGAAACCAGGCTTTATCCCAAATATAAATTTTGGTGAGGTGGAGGACAAAAGGAAGTCAGCCTGTGATTTTTAAATTGGTCATAGATATCCACATATGCAACCAAGAAAGAATTGCAACTTTCTAGAAATTTGCATATTCATAATCATAAGGACTTTTTGGCTTCTCTATGCTTGTGCTCACACACACACGCACACATACACACACACACACAAAATCAGTTTGAGTAAAATTGCCATGTTTTCACCTTACCAAATGCCAAAAAACAAAACCTGTTTGCTTTCATGTTTTAATTTTTGCTCTATTCTGCTGGCATTGTTTTCATGACCAGAACCAAATGCCAAAGGAAGGAATAAGCTCTCCAGGGGCATCTAAAGAGTCAGGTAGAGGCAGGTACTTGAAAGCAATGGCAGAAAGGGGAAAAGGAACTTCCAGCTATGCAGTATCATGAGCCAGTACTCCAGGCTTAGAACAGAACGAGGAAAGAAAGCATTTTAAATTCAGGAATCAGAAATCTGGGGCTCCAACAGGTAAGCAGCTTTACCAACTGGGAAAGTGGCTGGCACTTGGCATACTCGAGTTGTACACATTTCAGTAGAACAGAGACACCCAAGCTACCACATTCCATACTTCTCATTTTAGTGCCATACCAGGGTTCCAAATGTAATGCACAACATCTGTGCTTCAGAGGAGCTGAAGCCAAATGTAGGGTGAGGTCCCATTGGTTAGCTATATGCAGAAACCAGAATATAATGTGTGCAAAGTGAGATTTACACTTGCAGCACTCTAAGTAAACTCAGACGTCTCGGCAAACCAAAGACCAGTTGGCACAAGAGGAAATACCAATTGGGCAAATCCAATTTTCTTAGTCTCAAGTGTAGTCAGTTGTTGTGTAAGTGACCCAGCACACGCCAAAGCCAGCTTCCTAAGTTTGTATTCTAGAGACGTCAGAAACTAGCCTTTCCAGTCTTTCCACACAGGTAGAGAGATGAGCTGTCCCACCATACCCTAATCCTGCAGAGAGTTTATTTCACCACTTTTACAATATAGCTTCCAACTCACAGGCCCAGAATACAGCCTAAGGTCTATAAACACATGATGCACACCTGATGACAGCATTCTTTTCCTCAGTCATTTAAAGATTTCTTCAGTCGCTAGATCCAATGCTGCACTATGCTATGTGATATGTATTTGTAGCTAAATGTCAACTCAAATCTGAATGAAGTAAATATTTCAGCATTTTCTAATGTGTTATTAACTGTTTGTTTTCAGTGTCTGTGGGATATGAATATGAAACATGCCCTGACTTTATTCTCTGGGAGAAAAGGACAGTCATTTTGCAAGGTTTTGAGATGGATGCTTCTAACCTAGGAGGCTGGTCCTTAAACAAGCATCATATTTTGAATCCTCAAAGTGGTAAGCAACTTTTATTAAGTTTGTATTATTACTGTTTATAATGTATATAACGACCTGACAGAAACTGACAACAACAAATGCTGTATACAGAATACACATTCATTCAAGAAAATTTGAAAAGTGCAAGAAAAAAGTGACCTATACATCTGCCACCTACAGATGACCATATCAGTGTATCTCTTTTCACAAACAATAATCTGATTTGAAAGTAGTGTCAGTATAGTGGGACCTCTTCATCACAAAGTTATAAACACTGGATTTCAAGAATCAACTCTTATCATTGCTCTCTCCCTAGTCTTTTCTAACTAAACTGTTAAAACTGGAATAATCATTAACATATTTTACATGAGACATCATCATTTAGGAGTACAACAGTATTTTATGGAAAATACTGCCAATTACACAATGCAATGATCTCAGAGATGTTACCATCCAAACATACACCCTCAGAATCGATGCATCACGTAATAACATTTTTAGTTTTCAAAGGGTTTGGGTGAGCTTTGTCCCATTTTAAAACACATTCACCCTGAAATGTGCTGTTAACCCCATTGAAAAGATCAAAAGCCTGAGGCATGTGACTTCCCCAAGGTTTCACTATTATTAGCTGTCCTGCCATAGGCAGAATCCTTTCCAACTCATGGAGACCCTATGCACAACAGAATGAAACATCGCCTGGTCCTGTGCCATCTTCACCATCGTTGCTATGCCCAAGTCCATTTTTACGGCCTTGTATTGGGCTGCTAACTGCAAGGTCGCTAGTTCAAACCCCCTACCCGCTCCTATGGAGAAAGAAGAGGCTGTCTGCTCCCGCTAGTAAAGACTGGCAGCCTCAGAAACCCACAGGAGCAGTTCCAGTCTGCTCAATAGTGTCATTGTGAGGCAGAAGCGACTCAGTGGCAGTGGGTTTGGGGTTTTGCTTTCCTTCCATAGGGGCCTTATCTTCCAGCACTATACCAGTTGTGATTCATAGGGGTTTGATTGGCTGACTTTCAGACATTGAATACCAGTTTCCTGTTCCTAGTCTGTCTTGGTCTGGAAGCTCCACTAAACCCTGTCCACCACAGGTGACCCTGTTGCTGTTTGAAATATTGGTGACATAACTTCCAACATCACAGAAATATAAGCACTGGACTGAAAGGTCAGTTAGAACTGCAGTTCAAACTCTCCTCGGAAACCCTATATAAGGTCGCTATGAATGGAACTGACTTGACGGCATTTAACAACATTCGTAAGTGGCTAGAACCATGTGCTTTTACTCCTACACCCCAGTTATTTATTCACATGAATTTCAATATATGCAATATGAAACTAGGAACAACAACAACAACAGAAAAAGGACAGTACGAGGTAAAGGAGGCTAAGAGGTAGGAGGAAGACAGAAGAAGCCGACAAGGAGCCTGAGGGCAGACAGTGAAGTCCTGGGCTTCACTTAGTTCGCAGTGAAGAGGAGACAGACCACTGTGCAGATCAGAACACATTCAGCTGTGATCTTTCCCTCTTTGTGATCCATTTTTCCTGCTGTCGTTTGCTCCTAGTCATAATTCAGTTGTTTAAAAAAGTCAAGAGGAATTGGCATAGGAATTGCCCTGATGGCACAGTGATTAATATCTCTGCTGCTAACCAAAAGGTCGGCAGTTTGAACCCACCAGCCACTCAGTGGAAGAAAGAAGCGGAGGTCTGTTTCTGTAAAGATTGTTGTTGTTGCTGTGAAGTGTCGTCAAGTCGATTCCGACCCATAGTGACCCTGTGTAGGGTTTCCAAGGAGCAGCTGGTGACTTTGAAACGCCGACCTTGCAGTTCAGACCGCTTTGCAGTCTGGCGCATTGACCTACGGCGCCACACCAGGGAAGTTCTACTCTGCCCTGTATGACTTAGGAGTTCTGGATCCATTTTGTCATCACACCTATGGTCTTACTTTGTTAGCATCACGTTTAAATCAGCCAAGCCAACACAGGCTGGTGAATTTTTGATTGACAAAGCTAACCAGGTCTGCTTAACGATAAAATGAGGCCACTTACTACAGCTGTAACATAAAACCCTGTAGGTGAATTGACGCCATTGCTGTATCTTCCAAGCCACCATTACACCCTTTAAGAAAGACTCTAATTCCATTTCAAACAAAAAAATTTAAGAGCAAAGATTCAGGCACAGATATAAAATGTCAACTTTTTTTCCCCTATTGTCAAAAGGAAAGCCACTGTTTTTAAAGTACAAAAATGAAAGGGCAGATGGCACTTATGAAATTATTAGGATTTTTTGGTTTTGATTTGAAAGAGTTTGACATTTTAAGCAGTCACTGCTTTCCCTCTCACTTTTATTGGCTTGTATGGATTGTCTCTTTCAAATGCCTGTCATTGACATTAAACACAGAGTGGGAAGTGACCTCCATCAAGCCAGCCCCCAACTCCATGTTCGCAGTTGTATGTCCTCTTACCATTTGCTTCACACAGGCTTAAAAGTTCAGAACCCAGACAAGTCATTGAGAAAATTGGCTTTGGAAGCACCCTGACTTCCACAACTGGGATCTCTCCATTTAGTTCATTCACCAGTAATTGATTTTAGGGAATGGGAACTAACTTATTTCTGAGAATTGTAAACAGCATTACTGACATGTCACTTATACACTATATAAGTTACCTTGATGGCACATTGGGTTAAGTGTTGGACTACTAGCCAAAAAGTGACCAGTTCAAACCCACCAGCTGCTCTGCTTCCATAAAGATTGTTGTTATTAAGTGCCGTCGAGTCAGTTCTGACTCATAGCGAACCTGTATAGGGTTTCTGAGAGGCTACTGGTGAGTTTGAACCACCAATCTTTTGGTTCAAATCAACCTATGGTCCAGTGCTTTATCCCACAGCACCACACCAGGACTCCCCATAAAGATTACAGTGTAGGGAACCCTATGGGGCACTCTGAGTCCAAATCTACTCCATGGCAGTGGGTTTGGGTTTGGATTTGGAATTCACCTATTTTAAGTGTACACCTCAATGTTTTTTAGTAAACTTGTATGTTTGTGCAATCATCACCACAATCTAACTTTATAATATTTCAGTCACCCCCAAAAGTTGCCCCCATGCACACCCACATTCCTAAACCAAAAACAAACGAACAAACCCACTGCCTTGGAGTTGATTCTGACTCATAAGGACCAGCCCGAGGCAGCCATTAAATATTCTTTCTGTAGTTTTCTGATAATTTTATTTTCAGAAAGAGGCTTTACTTTTGATAGTTTTCAAAAAGGAGCATTTGTTCGTACTATCATCTCCCTTCTAGATGCACTGTATTTCTAACCAAGAATTGTTCACAATCACCAGGAAACAGATCTGAAGCCAGGTTGGCCACTGCCTTTCAGCCTGACCTTGGGCACAAACACTTCTCTTGGGAAGGGTTCCTAGTCTAAATCCCGCCCACGAAGGCAGTGTGAGAAGGTGGAATGAGAAGTGTGAAGGAACAGCATTGGGAAGACCAATTTAGAAAGCAATGCTCTTTCCCCCTCAGGTCAGACAGCCTTTCTGACTGATTAAGGCAAGAGCTCCATCTCTCCGAATTCCCCCCACTCTACTTCTTGCTGGAAAAAGCCTAACTCTTCAGGCACCCCGCTTTTTTGATCTGAGACAGGTAGCAGATTGGAAACAAGAATCTATCTTCCCCCCAATTTCCTCTCACTGGTTAAAAAGACACCTGTAATTAGATTGGATGTCTGCTGCCATTCAAGTCTTCAGTTTTTTTCTTTGGCTCCAAAATCATTATGCAGTGGGTAGCTTCTGGTAGGCAGTGTTTTCAGACCATTTGTCATTTCAGTTGCAGCAATTATATTTACCTGACAATTAACCATTGGTTGTGGAGAATTGTTTCCAAATATGCCTGACACATATAGATGGCTCCAACCTTCACTGATTTAAAAAACACAAGGAACTTGGTGTTCTTCAGTATTAGTCCTTCAAAATACATCTTCTTCGTGATTATTGAGAAAGCATACTCATTCCTCTTAAGAAAACTCAGTCTTTAAAAATTATGACAAAAATGTGTGCATGAATCATCCATTACAGAGTTAAGCTAGTCTTTATAACATATCATTACATCAAACATGTCTCCTAGTGTTTCCTGCCAGTTGAGTGTTAAAAATTATTAAAAAGAACAAACCAGGGTACAAATTGGGTATTCTCATCTGTCTGAATTGGAAAAATAATTTTCTTTAACTTAGCCTCAATGATAGGCCAGCCGTTTGTCAACAAATGGTTTTGCTGTGTGGGGGAGTAAGTTTCCATTGATCACAATGGCATATCTCCCAGTCTGTGTTTATATCCTCTCAATCAAGTCCTGAGAGAAATATGTATTGTGTCCCCTGTTGTTCATAAGTCTGAAAAATGATTTCTTATTGAGATCAGCATAAAGCACCACCCACTGGCTACCAGGAGAATTTTTATTTAGAACATATTTATAAGCTTCAAAAGAAGTTCTGAGCCAGGTAGCAGAAGGTTATGAACATTATGTTTACAAAGTATGCTTACCTTATTACATAACAAACTTGGCTTTTTGGTGGAGAAAAGGGAACTTAGGGAAGAAAAGGTGCTGATGGTCCCAATCAGTATGGTTTTTCTGCTGATCATAAACTAGACACCCAACCCTTAGCAGAAAGTTGGCCTTCATATAAATAATGTGTGTTGTCCTAGGATCATTTGATTCTGTTTTTAAAATGAGCATGTGTGGCGGAATAAAGTGGAAAGGAGGCAGTGGTAATTGATCAAGATTTCCAGAAACACAAACAAAATATTTTCAAAGCAACCTTTTGCAGAAGAATTGGTGTTAAATCATTGTTGCTAGATGGTTTGCCCCGGTTCTATGTAATGGAAGGTTAAACAGATTCTTGAAACAACAAAAACACCCTTCAAAATGATCTATTTTTCCAGGGCAATACAAAGGGGTTTGCCCATTTTTGTTTTGATTGCTTCAGCTTTAAACAGGAATGGTAATTTCAGTACACAAGCACTTTAGTACCTTGCATGAAAGCAAGACATCAATTGTTGAGATATAATCAGAAAGTACATTGCCTTATGTTTTATTTCCTTTAATCATTCTTCTTCTTTGATGGAGTGCTGGGTTTTCTAATAGAAAAGGGGAGTTTTAGAATTGCAGACTTAGAAGAATGGTTTAGAGTAGCCATCTTTAGTTTTTAAATTGCCAAGAGCCTGGTAATAGCATGTCATTTTGAGGGTAATTGTTAACTATACTATTATATTGATGCATATAAAAAATAGAGATCTACCTGTGAAAATAGATGTTAATGGCAAATCTGGTATTTCCAAGCCAATAACTGAAAATGTGCTTGACTGATATACCCTATAGTGCATTGCTGAAACACAGACATAGTAAACAGTGGTTTCCTCGTTTACTGAAGAGCATATCGTAGTCTCATCTGTAGGATCTTCTGTCAGTGATCATTAGATTTCTTTACAATGACGTTGTGTAACTGCCATTCTAGTTCTCATTCACTCCTTCCCAATTCATCTAAATTGCAATATTGATTGTACTACAAGTAAATGCCCTTTTGGGGGAAATGAGATTCAATCCTATTAATCTTACTTAATTAACTACTCCACATCTTAAGAAATTTCTGCCTAATAAAGTTATTGATAAAATTAATCTTAAAAAGTCTTGATCCTTAAGATATCTCATAGTTTTGCCATAAAAGACTGGTTTGTTGGAGGCATGAGCTCAAAGCTTCTACAAATCATATGTTGAAGAAATAACCAGAAATCACCCTAGGAGGGAAGTAAAAATACTTAGATTTGTAATCCAAAGGCATTTGATGAATGGGATTTCTGTTTCTTGGAAGGCCCCTTGCAAGTACATATTGATGCCTATATAGTGTTGTGCATGTTTTGCCCTCTTAGTTATTTTTGTCTGCAATGTTCCTACCTCAAAGTATTCACTGGTTTCTTTGGTGGGACTGTGGGAACAAAAGTTGGGGGCGGGGGGACAAAAACCTAAGATATATTTCAGGTAATATTTAGGGAGAAAAACCATCAAACCAAGAAGATAGATAGCAGGCACTGTTGGGGGCAGGAGATGGTGGAGAAGGAGGGAATAAGCTTATACTGTATTCATTCAGTCTCTGTCAGATACTTCTGTTTGACATATTGAATGCCTTCTTCAAACATGGATGTTTTACCTGCCCTTGCTAATTCTGGAAAGACTTGAGCTATTTAGCACAGCAGTACTTGTTCCATGTGCAAAATCACTGAGATTTGGATGAGAAAACTGTAAGAGACTCAAAGACTATTTTCAACCCAAACTGAACACTTAGGATGATTTGGTCACAGAGATTGGCACTAAAATACAGAGATGTGTAAGGCAGATTATCTATCTACATTTAGGGAGTTCATGTTCTAATGGGCAATACAGAGAAGTAATGACAGCTATGTAATACAACCTATTATAATAGCCAGAGTCCTGGTATGGGCACTATAAGACAGCACTGGGCCACAAGGTATGAACTGCAAGGTCAGCAGTTCAAACTCACCAGCTTCTCCTCAGAAATCCTATACAGAGTCTCTATGAGTCAGAAACAACTCGACAGCGCTTAGCCTCAACCAAGCTCATTATAATGACCAACCAGTTGTCATCCAGCAGACTCTTACTCAGGGCAACCCTGTGTTTTCCAAAGTAGAAAACTTTGCTCCATTGGGTTTTCAGTGGTTGATCTTTGGAAAGAGGATCACTAGGCCTTTCTTCCAAGATGCCTCTGGGGAAACTCAAGCTACCCACCTCTTGGTCAGCAGTCGTACACTTCAAGAATTCCTCAATCAGACAAGATAAGGAAGGTATTCAGGATAGAGGATATAGCATGTACAAAGAGGAATGGGAGTATGGGAAGGTAATTGTAATTTTTTTTTTTTTTTTTTGTAAGTAGAACTCAATGAGAGGGCAGTGTGAGGAAGGACTGAAGAAATAGGCAAAAGTCAAATTAGGAAATATTTTGTATTTGTTAATGATAAGGAATGTACCCCTTGCCCTATAAGGAAATTTTAATTTTTTTTTAAGTGCTGTTGAGTTGCTTCTGACTCATAGCGACTATGTATAAGGTTTCCAAGGTGTGGCTGGTGGGTTTGAACAAACCACCACCGTGGGGTTCAAATCAACCTAGTGGTCCAGTACTTATCTGACAGTGCCATACCAGAACTTCTTATAAGGGATATAGAGCTAGTGAAAATTTATAACCCACAGAAATAATCTCTATGGCAGGAGGGTAGAGGATGGTTTTGAGATGGCTATGCATGGAGACCAGAAAACCAAGAAGCTTAGAAAAAAATGAACTAAGATAGTAGCAGAAATGGAGAAGAGGAACTGGTTCGACTCATTTTAGGAGATAGACTCAATGATCATTGTTAATTAATTAGATACAGAAAATGAAAGACAAAGAAGAGCCAAATAGATACCCAGGTCTCCAAATTGGGAAACTGCATGTAGTGTAAGATGAGTAGGGACCACAGAAAAGACAGCAGGTTTTGGTAAAGGATTCATTAAGATAACAAATAGTCTTAAACTTGTTCAATACCAGGTACCTATGGTACATCCAAGTAAAGAGATCCAGCACTTCAGTCAAGACCTTAAATGGGTGAATTTCAGCATATGCAAATGGGAGTTAAAGCTGTAGGTGTGGGTGAGATTGCCCAAAGAAAATGACTGCAAAGTATTTTCCAGCATTTTCCTAAGTCAGTATCCATGTTGCCTGCACTGATGATAGTGAGATATGGTCCAAAAGAGTGGAAAATTCAAGTCCCTTTCATGTATCTTTGAAGTGCATTCTAGCGATATGCTATCTTTTCTTTCCACAGAAGCCGATTACCTTTCGGATTGTGTTCTGCTAAGGTTAATATTAAAATGTATTGATAGTCCTTGTTCAGAAACCAGTTCCAGAGGGAGGGTAATTTGAAGTCAGACAGGTGTGTTCCAGGCATAAGGATAAACCCAGCCAGAAATGAAAAATTAGCCACAGAGGATTCACAGAGCCCAGATTGAAAAGAGATCATTAAAAGTTAGTCATCAGATGCTTTACTGATGCAGTTAGAATCAGCATTAAAGGGATCAGCGGCATAACCCCACTTCACTGATAGACAAACTGAGTCAAAGTGTTAGGCTATCAGTTGTTATGGTTTTGCAGTTAAACAAACCAAGGACAGTGGGTTTAACACTCAGGTTTTCTTATGCCAGGCCAAAGCAGCATCCTGTCTAAACAATGAGATAGAAATAATAAATATTACCAAGTCTCTCATTGTTTTTATCTCTGTCTCTGTCTCTTTCCCCTTCTGTCTTCTTGTGTCTAGGAATCATACATAAAGGGAATGGAGAAAATATGTTCATCTCCCAACAGCCTTCAGTTATATCAACCATTATGGGTAATGGACACCAACGGAGTGTAGCCTGCACCAATTGCAATGGCCCAGCCCACAACAACAAGCTCTTTGCTCCTGTCGCCTTAGCTTCTGGTCCTGATGGAAGTGTGTATGTTGGTGACTTCAATTTTGTAAGGCGAATATTTCCCTCGGGAAACTCTGTTAGTATTTTGGAATTAAGGTAAGTCTCCTCTAATCTCTGTGTTTGCTTAGCGGATAAAGAAGCAGGAATAAGATAACATGAAGAGACAAGAGCTTTGCCAGAAGGAGGAAAAAAAAGAAAAATGCTGTCGCCCAGCATGTAGCACTGGGTTAAGGGGCAGGAATAGGGACAAAGGATATAGTTAAACAAGGTCAGCCCTCCTACTTGAAGGAACCTTTGAGCATTGCTTTGGAGAACCAGGAAGTGTTGCCATCCTTTGTGTGTATGACTTCCCTGTGTGCTTTGTCATCAAAGTGCTCAGGTAAGTAGTAGCCCCCTCCCCGTCAATATTGAGACTGATAAAAAAATACCTATTCTGTTTTAGGAGATAGACATATTACCAAATCTAAAAGGTGTAACTTTTTGAAGCCGTCATTCCATAAAGAAAAAAGTGTAAGTCAGTGTTTGTGTGGCCTGATAAGGAAAGAAGAACTAGTTTTTTGCCCCTAAAAGCTCTTCCTCATTGTAATGAAAACATTTATCTTTACCAATTCTAGGAATTTTCTTGAGCTGTATGCAAATAAGTATTTTGACACATTTTGAAAACAATTCAAATCTTTTGATAGTCCATATCCTGAAGTTACACAAAGACTACAACTCAATTGCTGTTGCTGTTGTTGTTAAGTATCATCCAGTCGGTTCTGACCCATAGTGACCCTGTATAGGGTTTCCAAAGAGCGGCTGCAGTTCAAACCGACCTTGCAGTCCAGCGCATTAACCCATAGCACCACACCAACTAAACCATGGTTTAATCCGCTTTTTTCTCCCTTTCTGACACTATAAAACACAAGCATGCCCTCTGGAATTCTAGAGAAGAAAGCATCCATCCCCATTTCAGTAGGGATGTTCTCCCTTCCCAGATTCAAGCTAGTAAAGCCTTCCTTCTAATTGCTTATGATGGCTTCATCCCTAACACAGGCCTTTGAAACACTAAGCTGCAAGTTTCTGTATGATATGGAAGATTTTGATGCTGTCTTACAAAATACTCCATAAAAAGATTGTTGGCATAGGCGGTATCTCAATGACCAGAAAAATAGTGACTGGGAGAGCAGAGACATTGATTTAACAATGGTTAAGTACCGTAGTGGTTACGAATCGGGCTGTGAACCGCAAGGTCAGCAGTTCAAAACTACCAGCGGTTCCGCGGGAGAAAGAAGAGGCGTTCTGCTCCCGTAAAGATTTACAGCCTCGAAAACCCTGTGCAGGGTCGCTATGAGTCGGAACCGACTCCACGGCATATCACCACCACCAAGTACTCTCCTGGAGTTCTGGTAGGAAGCTGTAGGATAAGCACTGGACTGCTAACCCCAAGGTCAGCAGTTCAAACTCACCAGCCACTCCTCGGATATATAGTGTCTCTGTGATTCGGAACCAACTAGACAGCACTTAACAACAACAGAAGTACTCAGTTGCTACCCAAAAGGTCTAGGTCCAAATCCACCATTCATTCTACATAAGAAAACAGTATGGGATAGTTCTACTTTGTCATATAGAGTGACTTTGAGTTGGAATCAAATTGCACACACATATCAACATGTACAAAGCCCCATCAAGGCCAGTCAAAACATACAAAAAATCTTGGGACATTTTCATTTAACATGTTCTTGTATTCACACAAGCAGGGAAATTTGAATATATATATGGACATTCCTCAAAAGTTTTCAGATTCTTGTTCTTGCTTTGGATACCTCTTTTTTTCTCAGACTGAGTTATTCCTTCAAACCTAGCTGGGAAAATCTTCTAGTCCCAAGCCCCGATCCATTTTTCACATTAATTCACTCTAGTTTTAATATATTTCTTAATTATAATTGCAAAGCCTGTCATAGGGAAGAAGGCTGTTAAATCCCTTGGCTAATAAAAAAAAAAGAAAAGTAGACTGTAAAGTTAAGACTTTATAAGACAAAATACATCTAGAGGGTCTATGGAGGTATTAATTGAAAACACTCTGCCCTAACCAAGTGTTCATCTCCCTCAGGGTGTCATACCCCACAGGGACCTGTCACTTCCAGTAGTCCATGTCTTTGGGTATCTACTTACTGGAAAGTCAACCAAGAAGGCCAAGATGGTTGAAGGCCTGCATTTTGGAAATGACTTAAACAACAGTCTACATTGTTTTCAAAACCTCAGGGATTCTTTATCTATATGATGCCAAACGTGGACAGGAACTTTGAACAATTTATGCACGATTAAAATGTTTCTAGTCATGCAGATATTTACTGTAAGGTAGACAGAGACATGTCTTATGAAACCTATCTGGTTAACCCCTATATAGTGAATTTCTCAAGGAAGAAAACAATAGAATTATCTATAAAAGAAAAAGAATACCACTATAAAGAAAACCCAGCTAAGTTCAGCCCTTTCCTTTTAATTTAAATGCAAATTTACCTAAGGTGGAGCAATTGTCATTCATTGACAGGATTCTCTCTTGGGCAAGGGTCCTTAACAGTTCACAGATTTGCATTTAGTTAAAAGTACCTTATGACCTTCAACACAAAATCATTTGAAGAATAAAATAACTTGGGCCTTAATTACAAAGTGATTTTCTCAGTATAGGAAAAATTCATTTCTGACAGTTTAAAGTATTGTCCAATGTTTCTATTCATTCATATCACTCTAATATTGTTATAGCTCTTCAAGCATGTAGGCATGCAAACGCCATGTGCTATCCACACACCCAGGTTCTGTCAGCCTCAGTCTCCCTAGCTGGCTTCTTTGAGCTGAGAAAAAGTGCTTCTTGGTTTTTTTTTTGAAGTTGCAAACCTGAGAATCTCTTGAAGACTATGGACTCTTTCACCGGAGAAAGCACATTCACACAAAAGTGTGTGTGTGATTTCAGAGGTCCCATATCTTCCCCAACTTTCTCAACCTGCCCCTGTAAATGAAGCCTTTCATAGACTCCTGGTTAAAATTCTCTACATTAGGATCAAAGAGAAAAAAAAAAAAAACAATTTTCCCTTCATGACTCTAACAGTAGTGTGATTGATCATGAAAGAAATACACTGATTGAACATACAGGAGCACTGTGACCTAATTGACAGGTAACTCCCAAATTGTTTGACTATGGTTGAAACCATTAGACCAGTTTATCTCAGCACACACTAGCTGTCATGTTTACTCACAGAGCAACATAGTTCTTAGTAGTTTCACTGTTTTTAAAAAGCATCTGTCTTGATCAGTAGTCTATTCTATGTACATTGCATTTTTCCTATTAATTGGTGAATTTAAATATTTGCTTTACAGCTTTTCCAGATTTAAACTTTGATGATTTAATAAGGCCTTGCTGTGTTAAAAGCCATAATGTTTATTGAGTGCTACTGTATTTAGGTTAAACTTTCATTTTGTGTCAGTGTTTGTTAAAACTAGTTCATTTAATTACCCCCCTTCTCTCCCTATGCACATTACTCATTGTACTTGGTTGAGTAATCTGTTTCCTTGGAAACACAGACTAATATAGTCATTATGCTATTGATCACACTTAAAATTGGGAATGGAAGAGTAATATTGCCAACAGATTTCTATGGAAAGGCATCTTCTAGATCTCTATTCTCTATTTCCCAGTTCATGTATTGACTTCTGTATTATAAGTGAGCATCCTCTTACAATTTAGCCACTTTTGAGATCCACAAATGTATAGTACTCAGCTCAATGCTTGATGACATTTTGTAGAAAGACATAAAACTTGTCTTTAATAGATTTCTTTCTATATTTCTTTCCCTTCCAGCCTTTTTTTTTTCATATTGGGTAGCATTGACCAATTCCAGATCCTGTTCGATGTTAACCCTTTTCAAAGCCCTACTTCAGTTCTAGTAACCCAAACTATTCTCTCATCTGAACTCAAAAATAACTTCATTTTCATTGATTGCCAATCATTTATTGCTTCTAACTTGTTCTCCATTGACTGAACGGGGAAAGAGAAGAAAAGTCAGTTTATGTTACATCATTAGCAACTGGCCAAAAGCAACAGTATTATTTCATGTTACTTTAAGTATATTGTACCTCTTTGTCTACCACAGATTCCATCTGGAGGATAAACACTAGACTGCTGTCCACAAGCCTGGTGGGTCAAACCCACCAGCTACTCCTTGGAAGCCCTATACATAGGTCATAAAGGTCACTATGAGTCTCACCAGACTCAATGGCACTTGACAATAATAATACACATATTAGTGCTTCCTACCAGTGGAAGACTGAGATGAGCTAACACAGAAAGAAATCATATAAGAACATGCAGTTGAATCTAAAGGAGTTTCAAAAATACATTCTCTAAAGATTTTTTAAAGATCGATTCATTTCTATATGAAATATTTTTGGTCTTAGTTTCCCTAGACATTTGCTTCTCATGTTAAAATTTTAACACACACACACACACAAAAAAAATTATGTTCATATATACGCAAACACAGAGGGGGCTTCAAAAAGTTTGTGGTAAAATAGAATTGAAAGAGAATTGAATTTGTCAATGAATTTTTAAAAATCATATTTATACAGGATACTGTGATCTAGTCCACCATGTTGTCCCATACCCAGTGCATCCCTGACAGTTGATCATCTCAACTTTGCTCGCTCTCTTTCAATAAATGGGAAACTTAAATACTTCTCTAGACAGCCCATTAGGTATTTGGAATGCTCTGTTAGAAAATTCTTCCTTATATTGATCCATAATCTGTCTCCATGAAACGTCCACTTAGTTGTGGCAAATGCTGGCATTCGAAGCAGCATAGGAGCCACTTCCCTCTTCACAAATGTGAAGACAGCTAGCATAGGTTTCTGAATGTTCCCTTCTTCTGTTTAAACAGCCCTAAATGTTTCAACTATTTCTCATCAGTTATGACTTTGTTGCTTTGCTTTTGATTTGCCTCAGGGCCAGTTTTTAGTCTCTTAAAACTAACAGGAATAATTATATAAGTAAAAATAGGAGCTATCATATCAAGTGCTTTGTAAGAATTGAAATATGTGATATCCCTTTGCTCCCCTCTCAT